TGTTGGCTTTGAGATTGGACCTGTCTCTCAACCTCCCTGCCTCTCTCCTGTCGAGTTTCATTTTCATTTCTTTCTCTTTTCCATGGCGGCGCGCTGCCTTCACACAGTCCTCTGCCTGCTTTGTTATCCCTCCTTTGCTTTCCCTGTGTTGTTGCTGTCTCGCCTCTCTGTCCCTCCTGCTGAGAGGTAATCAAGCCCTGTTGTGAGTGTTTAAGCATTGGAGTAGACGCATGTTGAATTATTCTTGGGACTTAATATTTTGTCTGGGAGGAGAGAGCCGGTCTCCATACCACATGCTGGGCAGCGGCCACGTACACATGAATGCACACACACCCACACACACAGTTAGTCAGTCATTGAGTCAGAAAGATAGTCAGTCACACAGATATCCTGCTGACAGAGAGTTACAGGTAAGAGATTGATTGGACCTGACAGGCAACCCACACTGTATACACTGATACACTTAATGCGACACAGACACAAGTAAACACAGTATGCACACTACCAGACTGTACAAACAAGCCTATCACCGTGAGAGAAACACACATGCACACATGTGACAGACAGCATCCATTCACACGTATGTAAACATCACAGCTAACGTCCTCAAAGTTAAACACGCAAACCAACAAAAGGAGAACAGACAATGTAAGAACTCATCTCCTGACTAATTCCCTCCTGTCTTCAGCTTCCCTCACATCCGTCCCCTCCCCCACGCTGCTTGGTTTTATTTTTATTTCTTTTACCACTCTCCCACTCCCTCCTTATCTATCTCTTCTACTCCTGCTCTCCATTCTGCCTTGAGCTCGCCTTTATCATCGCTTCTCTTTCCCTTTTTTCCCCCTTCGTCTTTCACTGTGAACTTAAACTCTCCGTGGAACCATAAGCTGATATCACACAGACTCAGTGTTCCTTTAATCTCTCTCTCTCTCTCTCACACACACACACACACGCACACACACTGAGACAGACACAGACACACACACACACACACCTGGGTGGTCATTATATTTCACAAAGCTTGGCGAGGGCATTGTTGCATTACCTATCATGCTGTGTGTGTGGCATAACGGTGGTGCGCAATATCATGGTTAGCTGGTGACAGAAGATCATGTTTAAAATAAGAGGCAGGAGGTGTTAACTGTTTTAGCTTCAGAGGCCTTTGAACTGTGTGTAACTCTTTACATACAGTATGAGACAGGTAATAGTGAGGGTGTAGCTGATTAAAAGGCTTTCATTATAGATAATCCGTCATGTTACAACGTTGAACTCCATTGATTTAGCATTGCACTCATGTAACTCACAACGGACACTTTGAAAAAGGATGAAAATCGATTTAACAGAATCAGAGATATCGCCTTTTTTATTCCATACATTCATCTTCCTTGTCAAACTTGGCACCTACATCACCCACAATGCAACTCGACCACAAACGGTTGGGTCAAAGATTTGGGTGTGTCATGCTAGTAGCAGCTCATGTAGCCTCAAGCAGAGATGAGGACCTACAGAGGTCTCACGTCTTTGTAAATCCTCACGCTCAGATTTTCTTTTCATTTTCAAACTTGTAGTTTTCAACCCTTAACTGACGCTGACTCAAGTGACATCACTTAAGGCAATTTATTAGACTTCACAGAGCTTGCTCTGGAGCCACAACAGACTTTATACAACTTATAAGTGGTACCAACCTAGGCTGACCAAACGTCCTCTTTTGCCTGGACATGTCCACTTTTCATGTCCCGTCCGGGGAGTCCGGGGTGTCCAGGGGGTTTTTATAAACTGATGTGTGTGTGTTAGAGTGTGGCACGGGCTGCATATTTCTGTCCGAACCCGAACCGAGCCCGACATTATTTAATGACCAAAGCACTGAGTTTGTATCACACAGTTGTTAAGGTTACAAGGTAATTAACAGGCTGGGCGTGCTCAGCGGAGAGGGAGACCTCCGTGTTTGAGACAGGAGCGGGAGGCGGGAGCGGGAGGCAGGAGAGGGAGGCGGGAGGCGGGAGGTCCGACGGTTCCAGCGAGAGGAGAGGGAGAAATAAAACAAAATAAGATAAAATAGGAGACACCTGTCTCCCTCTTTTATTTTATTTTCAGCGTTTAATCAAGTCGGAGGCGGGCGGCTGGAGGTCCAAGACTTCCAGAGAGGGGAGAGGTAGAAACAAACAGCCAATGTGTGTCTGTGTGTGTTATGTTCAGGTGTTGTCACATAAATAACAGTGCCCAAGCAATAAACAGGACAGACAATAGGATTTTATTTATTTTTACACTACATTTTTACTGAAAGCTGACCGAATCCGACCCGAGCCCGAATACAATTTATAGCTACATTTTTGACCAAACCCGGCCCGACCCGTCGGGTACCGTCGGGCTCGGATCGCCGCACTCTAGTGTGTGTATGTGTCCCTATTGGGGCCTATCTGAATTTCTGTCCTTGAGAGATANGAGAGATATTATTTTGTAATATAACTAAATTTTCTATCCATACATATAAATTTTAAATATATTAAAATTATAAGGCATCTTTGAGTAAGCTGCAAGTATCATTTAAGTAGCCTATGTCGTGGCCGGCCGAATGTCCTCTTTTTTGGAAATCAAGATATGGTCACCCTAACTAACCAGACCTGTAAATGGACTTTGTACTGTAAAATCGGTGGAGACCCTCTTTAAGAAATCTTACGAAGAATTCTGGTATTGAGTATCAACTGACATGTTAAACTGAGAGGTGACTTCATAGCTTTTTGTCTTTTCTGACACATTACTTATTAAGCAAACACTGCTGCAGTGTTATAGCAGCGCACTTTCAAGCAGTCAGCTAAGCCGTAGCCGGTAACTTCTGACGATCTGACTGCATGTGAACGAAAACAGCCATCGAAGCTGAGGAGTCTTGGATGCATCTGTCAATCATGTTAATCACTGAATTGTGGTGAAACTAGTTTTCAGAGATATATTTTAGTGTACTGTTTAGCTGTAAAATGAGAATGTTGGTCCAGTCAGAGGGCGGTGTTGGTGCGTCACTCGACTATGTCCAACATGGCCGCCAGGTCAAAAACTTTCTCATTTTACAGCTAAACAGTACACTAAAATGTATTTCTATAAACATTTGAGGCAAGAAATAGACAATGCAGTAACAGAATCTTGGTTCATATTTAATCAATTTGACAGTTTGGCCCCATTTCAAGAGCAGTGACTGACATGATTGACAGCTGTGTTACAGACTTCTGAGCTCTGATTGGGTGTTTTTGGTGCAAGCAGTAAATTCTAGCAAATGTCTTCAGAGGAAATAGGAGGACGAGGGACATGACTTTTTCCACAGCCTTAAATAATACTGTGTGAATATAGTGACAAAAAGTGTAGCTTTAGCTTTAAACCAGTAGTTCCCATTGTGGGGGTCTAATCAAATTTACTATTCACAGATTAATCAACAAAGAATATGATATTTAAAGAAAGCTTTTCCTTTCTGTCACACATATATTTAATTCTACAGTGTAGGATTTTCATATTAAATGTGGCCAAAGTTTCAAATAATGAGGTGAACCTATGTACATGTAATCCTTGTGAGCAAAAACTTCAGGCTTCAGACTGTTCAGTTTACTCTGACTCCAACAGCTTTAGCTACAAGATGACATCAGATCCTAGCAGATTTCTCTATATGGTCATTGGCTCCTGGCGTGCTACTGCAGTGTTTATATTACAGTACATACACTGCTACATGTAGCAACATGCTAACATCAAGGAAACATGTAATATTGGTTAATCTCTCCCAGATTTCCGATCATATTAAGAGGCTTTTTTTGGTGATTTGTCACATATAAAGTACAGCTATTCTCCATTACAGTCACCTCCTGGCTGCAATGTTGGTGCAGAAATGCAGAGATACTAAAGACCTGGAAACACCAGTCAGAGCAGACGGGAGAGGGACTCAGATAAACAGGCGCTAAAACAGAGCGCCTCAGACAGAACGGGATCACAGGTGTTTCAGCACAGACAGTATGAGGAGAGAAAAAAGTGTTTTTTGAACATTAAAGCATGTTCTCATGAAAACCCAAAATACAAGCATGAACCTGAAAATGAGCATAATAGGTCCCCTTTAATTGCAGCCCTGCTATCAAGAGGTCAGCTAACAGCTTTTTCCTTGAATTTTCCTTTGCCAGAGTTTCCAGATGGAGACTGTTTTTGATCAGTCGTGGCAGCTTTTACTGCTCACACTAACTGCCCAGTGTTTCTTCAAAATAAACCAGAACATTTTAGTGAAAACACTATGGTGATACAATATTTTAGTCAGCTTAAAAAAATAAGCATAACTGAATAGAGTATCAGTAACTACATGAGTGATGAAACTGAAGATGAATGTCCTAGAAACAAGAAGACAGATTGTAGTTTTAATTTTGTAGTTTCCAGAGTGTCATTACTGCTGCTCAGTTCCTTTTATTGTCTGCACTGAGCGTTAAGGCTCTCCCCACAGTCGCATGTTGCGTTTCAGATGTCCGGGAAGCTGTAGGAGAATATTTTTTTCAGAACTAAAACACCTAGAAAAGCTTTTCCTGTCATGTTGAATCTTCAGTTTCGTCACATTATACACGCCGCAGTGGAGTGCCACTTAATAATTGAGTGCCATTTACTTTGCTCTAAAAGGAAGGCAGTAAGTGACATTATTGTGGATACCTAGATGAGTTTCTGCTGGTTGTAGAATCTGGGCTGGAGAGGGAAACTGATCTACTTTAAGAAGAAAGAAAAACAATTTAATTAAATTGTGCATGTTTCTGTGAGGAAGAATAAAATGTTCGTGTTGCCTTCTTTTATGTAGTTATTTATTTATTATCTATTCATCTGTTGTCTAACCTTTATTTATCTCTTGAAAGTCAACTGTGCAGCTTGCTCTTTTTTAACATCCTGCATCATCACTGTCACACTTTCCTCCACATTCACACCTGCAAACAGTCCAGTAAAACCACACTAAGGTAGGTGGATGTTAAACAAACACTCACACACTTCATACTCACACTTTGCTGGGAGGCCGTAGCCACAGGTGATCTTGGCCTCTCCGGTCTCGCAGCCGTGAAGGGAAGCACACTCTTTTTTCAGCAGTGGACCTGCAGCGCGGTGGATCGCTCCGTCCACTGGAGAGGAGAGGACAGGAGATTCAGAGAGTTGGCCTACTTATGTGAATCCTCTGCAATCTGACTACTTATAAGGAGTCTAAATGTTTGAAGTCCAGCAGACACATTTACAGGTGTCAAAGCTTAGCGCTCAAAGGACCAGGATGATGTCGGTATTAGTAGTGAGCAGTTGAATTTCCCATCTACTGCAGGTTGCCAACTTTTCCCCCATAATCCTGCTTTTTTTTCACCCCTTTTAATAAATCAAAGCATCTGTCTCTCTGTGTGTCAGTCTATATAATGGATTTTAGGGCCACTGCCTTAGTTAATTACTCCATTTAATGTGTTATTAAGGGCTCAGCTGACTTTGACTTTTTGGTCAATTAGTCTTTATTAATTACATTTTCATAAATCTGTATCTATCTTTGATCCACACCACATCTAAAGACCGTGACTGTGTTCATTTCCAGGAGGGCAATGATGCAGGAAAAGCAATTTTACAGCTGTGCCAATTTACCAGTTTCAGTCACAATCTCTGCGCCCCTCCCAGTTAGACACATTTCCTCAACGTTAATATTTATACCATCTTGAGCTCAACAGCTTTATTATTGTGGTTCTCAGCATTATGGACCCAGGAAAGCAGCGTTTCACTTTAATGAAATCACACTTGGAACAAATTAAGATAAAACAGGAACAACAGATTTAAATGCTGCAATGCCACTACAAAAAACAAAAGAATTTACAATTAAGGAACAATTCTTCAGAGCCAAAATATTTTACTTAAATTAACGAAAAGAAGATAAGAGATGAAAGAAAGAAAGAAAGAAAGAAACAAAGAATAACAATTTTATACAAAGCTTAGTTTACAGTCAGGTCCATAATTATTTGGACAATGATACAGTTGTTGTCATTTTGGCTCTGTACACCACCACAATGGGTTTTAAATGAAACAATGAATACCTGCTTAAAGTGCAGACTCTCAGCTTTCATTTAAGGCTTTTTTCAAAAATGTAGTATGAACCGTGTAGGAATTACAACCATTTCTTCACACAGTCCCCCAACTTTAAGGGCTCATAAGTATTTGGACAAACTAACATAATCATCAATTAAACAGTCAGTTTTAATACTTGGTTGCAAATCCTTT